TGACATTGCGTGCGGGTTCCCACGGATGACCCTGGGCAGCAACGAGACGAAATCATCATGACCATACAGGTCGCAATTGATGTTCAAACGTCGAAGTTTTGGGAGGCCTACGAGTAATAGCGCCATAATAGCATCCTCATTCTTGGCCGACTGGATCTTCCCATACACATCTTCAGCCTCTTCGACGGTGGAAGTGTACTCCGCGCACTTCTGCCTCAAGATTTCGTGGACTCCAGGATCATCAGATCTTGGCCAGGATCCGTTGGAATATCTCTCTTCAACATCTGCCCAGGTACGAGGCACGATGAAGGATTTGACAAGACTGGCATGGGCGGGGGAAGTGAAAACCAAGTATGCAAGAGCGGCAAGGTTGTCGGTCTCTTTCAGGTAAATCTCTGAGTACAACCATGGCGTCGCAAGCCGATTGAGTGTTCTGGAAGTACGGCATAGGCTGAGGAGAGATTCGCGCGTGGATAATGAGACAACGTGTTCAAGAAGCTCGGTGGGAAGCTTCTCCTCAATAGAGAGTGACATGGCAAGAACAACGACTTCGCAATGGCAGTTCGCTGGAATGGAGAAGAGGAATCGATAGCCATCTTGAAATTCGGAGAAGATTTTATCGTTTTGTTGTTAGCTGTTGCCCGTTGTGCAAGGCCGCCAGGGCGTATCGGATGCCTGCTTGGCATCTTGCTAGACAGCTGCTTACGTGACGTCATCGCTGCTCCACCCAATCACTTCGAGTTTGCTGCCTGAATCATCCACTCTTCATAGATCTAAAACATTCCCATTTGAAAGCTAAGTACAGATCAACGCTTTCTGCCTTCGCTATCATCATCTAGTGCGCAGTCGCCCCAAATGGCCATCCATTGAGATCGATGTTGAGTAGCCTTCCCGATTCGATTTCCTTAGCACGAGACTTCAGGTCGTCGATATCCCAGTTACACCACAAGAACTTGCCCTTGAGGAAGCGAGCCTCTGGGGTCGAGAGCCAGAGATTGAAGCTCGCAGGAAGAGTGACTACATCAAATCGATTAGTCTCGCCGCAGTCTGCAATAGGGTCGTACACTCACCATCATCAGTCTTGACATGTTTGAAGCTCTCTGACCCACCGACTCTACGGTTCATCTCCGTCAACACAACGCCAGGCTGGGTATGGAAGACACTAAGACCGGGTTTCGCAAGGAGGACCATGTCCCACAAGCGGTAAACAGCCATCTTCGCTACGCAGTAGGAGGCGTAGGCATCGTTCAAACTCAAATGGGCGCCCCAGGAGTTGATAGCGACAACATGCGCATCAGGTGCAGCATGGCGTATGAAAGCTTTAGCGACCCATAAAGAACCTTCAATATTACCAGTGACGCCTTTAAGAAACTCGCGCGCGTCAACATCAGCAAAGTTCTCCGTTGGACCAATGACCGCAGCGGCATGAATGAGCGTATCAATCTTCCCATCTTTAGCGAAATTGTCAAAAGCCGAATTGACAGATGCCTCGTCGGTGACATCGGTGCTTTGAATAAAGACCTCTGTGCTAGGGCACTCTTTCTCGATAAGGGCTTTGTTCTCGAGCAGCGGACCCTCGCGGCGTCCTAGCAGACCGATATGTGCGGCACCTGCGCGGGCGAAGAGACGTGCTGTTTCTCCTCCGATGCCCGTGTTGCCTCCTCCAGTCACAAGAATAGATTTGCCTTTCTGAGAGAGGGCTGGGAGGCTGGGGTCGCCGGCGGGTTGGGCTTTGTTGTGCCAGCGCTGGACTGGGGATGGGAATGGAGGCGTGTCGGAGACCATGCTGATGTGTTTGAGAGTTGGTGGAGGAAAAAAGGATTAATTGATGCGTGACTTGCGACTGATACCAATTGGAGAGCTGCGGATATCCTGACTATTCGTAATGGAGGACGACCCATCATTCTTATAATGTTCTTGTTCCCTAGTCGGGGAAAGAGACACGGCGGAGTTCACGAATCCCGACGTACAATTTGTTCCGCCCGACACTAGTGAAATCCGATCGCATTGATCCTGTTCCAATGGGGTGGCGCTTTCGCCGGTTGGTATTCCATGCATACTTGTACACAAATACTCGTTGATATCTCACTATTGGTATATCTCGGTACAATCCGTCAAGCCATAGAGGCCATGAGCATGATCAGCCCACCCATGCTGTCCATACCAGAGCACCATTCGGACCAACAGGCTGCACTACGACTAGCTCTACTCGTGTTGACTTGAAGAGTCGCTTCATCATCTAACGGAACATATGGCAACCACGCATCGCGGCAGGACAATCGACGCTGGTCCAACCTTCTAATCTCACCATCGACAGCTAGCGCAAATGATGTCTCTTGTCGCTGCTCGCTCTGCCGTTGCATTTGCCACTCTTCTGCATCCTTCGCTTCCCAGAGTTGCCGTTTAGCGGGCAGAGGCGCGATTACGAACTCAGTGGGCATGTCGCACATGGCTGCTGGGTCGAAGAAGACGAGCTTGTTCAGGATGCGATAGATTACCGCGAGTCTATCATGGGTTTTAGTGAAGGAATATGGAACGGTTATCGGAATGATCAATGTACCTTCGCCTGGATTCTTTGTAAACCCAGTCTTGCCAGCTGTTAGTTGACTTGCTGCGACATAATACGTCATGCGTATGACAATCGAAATCGTCGCGAGAAAGTTGTATTGCGACGAGCTAGAACGAAATTTGTTAGATGTGTTTCCTCGACGTGCGGACACATCAGACTCACAATAACCGCCCTCTCCAAAAGATAATCCAGATTATTATGCTCAGTCTCGCCTTCATCAATCCGAATCAAGATGTACACTGAAAGAGCTTGCATAGCACCTAACAGTTCCCATTTATTCAGAGTTTGGTTCTGGTCACAGATGCGTTCACACTCGGTTCTCACGTTCCGCCAGAAGAGCTTCCGGCTTCCTTTGACTCGGTTCGCCATCATGTGCATCAACGCGATGCAATTCTCAAGTGGTTCTGTTGTTGTCCCTTCATCGGTGAACGACACATAGCTCGGGTGTATGAACGGTGGCAGATCATTTTGTTGCAGCATCAGCGGATAAGACTTCAACGTGTAGAAGATGCGACTGGCCGCTCTTTCCGCTCCGTGGTGCATCTTTGGCCGTTGTCTCATTGATCTGATGTTCAAACTGGGGCCAGGTGAGATGGCAAAGCACAACGACTGTTGTCTCTGGGTTTGATGTTGCCGCTCCCGCTGACGAGTAAGTTTATTCTGGTCGTCGGAGATTGGGTCTGTTGAGTCCAGCAACAATGAAGGAGGCGTAATGGTCGTCGAGCTGGCTAATCCTGGCGAAGGTGACGTGACTGAAGGGAAAGCCGACTGAGGCGTAGGTATCATGAAATCTTCAAAGGCCGTCATATCGTCGAGGTTCCACTGTAGATCTTCAAACACGGAGTCATCGCTGGCCGATGTAGTAGCCAGAAGACCCTGAGATTGATCGGCTACAGTTGGCACAGTCGAGTTTGCATGACCGTCAAGGGGATCATCCAGGCCGTCGGAGGTAGCACGACGCACAGCATCACGCTTTTGCCTTGTAGATCTGGAGGGATAGTGACACGTGAGTCCCCTTCGGGTACAGCGCGAACATTCTGGTAGTGCATTATCGCATCCGGTCTTTGCCTTTGCGCAAGCCGCGCATGACCGCCGTCTCGGGACAGAGGCTCTCGTACTAGACCGACAGTAATATCCATGCCGTTTCAATGATGATTCTTCGAGACCGGTCAGTTCAATGATCATTGTCGCAAACTTCGAGCAGCATGGCAAGAACACTGACGCTTGGTAAACGGCTTTTTGCACTGGCGGCACCAGAGCACACCCGCAGGTACCTGCTCCGTCATCCGGTGCTGGTCTGGAAGCGAATATGAGGGTTCGAGACACTCACAAGACAGCTAGCTCCGGACGAACTGAAGGCAAAGAAGTATTTAGGCGGCACAAAACAGATGCTTGGTCGCGACAAGCACAGGTTACCTAGGTAGTCCTGAGGTCGAGGTGGGTGGTGCTGACATATGCGGCAAGGACGCGCCCCACCTGCATCCTTCGGTCGGTACAAATTGTAATTCCCACCCTATCAACATACTGGCCTGCTGTTGAAGAGCCGTGGGGTCGACGTGTTGAAGTGCGCGCCGCTACACCCGGATATTGCGTTCGAAATTCGACCCGGCATTCCCCAGCATTGAAATAAGGCTTTCGGAGACAGTCCCAGGACTTGTCTAATCCAACATTGGTTCTCAGTGGGATGCCAATGCCTTGCAGCTTACGGCAAACGATCATAACGTCGTACTGGGTGAGCGCGTTATTCTCAATTCGAGGTCTGATGTTCATCATTTCAAAGCTATCCGTGTCTCATGAGTCTCTCACTGATCTCATGCCATGGGACAAGTAAACAGGTGCGCTGAAGCCTACAATACAACAACAGCAACATAAATTCTCGAAATTTGAGGCAATGTAGCTTTTTCGGCTTTTTTATTGGATGTGCTCCGTGAAGTGGCTGCCAGTATTTCCTTAGATGCGTTGCGATAATGCATTACGTGGATAGAAATTGTGTTTATAGGCTATTGTACTTCTGTTGTAACATCAGGAATAAAGCATAACATCGATCATTACAAGCAAGCCTTTTCGATCCTAGTCAACGCGAGACACAAAGCTGTTAATGAGACATCACAAGAGTTCAGCTCTCCATCGCCATCTCAATGTCAGCATCAACAAAGCCATCAAACATGTGACCATTCCAATACTTCGCCCGGAAAACACCGCTGCTGTGCTATCCCATTGGAATGGCGAGCTGCCCTCAACCCTATCGAAGGAGAAATAGAGACGCCGAATAATACGCCGAGGATGCCGCTTCTTCATCAAACCAAAGAAATGCCCTAAACCCCATCCTTGCACATCATGTACAACGTCCACAAGCCGCCGCCGCCAAAATCATCTGACAAAAGAACAAAAAGTAATCAACAGCCAGCGCATTCCCCAACACGTCCGTCGCTTACGCACCCCACTTCTTGACCGCCTCGCCCAGCTCTTTCGTCAACCCACGCCTCACAGCCAAAAGTTCTTCTTTCGCATTTTCAGCCTCTTTCTCGCTCCTCTCGACGCGTCCTCTCAGTTTTTCGACTTCGTTCCTGAGTTCTTTTCGTAGTTCTTTGCTTGCTTCTTCCACAGCTGTCAACCGGTCTACTTCCACCCTTAGCTTTTCGCCTGATGTTTCGACGGATTCCAACCGCTCTTTCATGGCCATCATCTCTTTTCTCATGTTCTCGGACTCTTTCTTTAGCGCGTCGGATTCGATTTGCAGACCGCGGTAGGCGTGGGATTCCTTCTCCATACGCTTTTGGAGGTCGGTTTTCTCGGTCTCTAGGCTGGTGTTTGAGGCTTTGAGACCGGCGTTTTCGTCTTTGAGATGTTGGATGCGGTCTGTTAATGCACGGTTTACGCGCTCTGGTGCTGGGCTGCGTGGGCTGAGGATGGATAAGGGTGATGGGACGGAGGTGGAGTCTTTGAGATTTGAGGGTGGCACGATTTGCTCGCTGACGGTGCGACGGTGTTTTTTTGGTCGGATAGCCGATGCGATGCTGGGGTAGTCTTCATCGCGTTCACGTTTGATTTTGACGCTCAAGTTGTCGGTTGCTGCGCGTTTGATGGATGGCGCCTGGACCTGGATGTCTTCCGGTATGGATCTTGATAATGATGCTGCCTCTAGTCAGTACATTATCAACCAAATGACAATCAACATCGACATACAGACGGTAGATGATCGCTTTGGCCGAACAGCGATCGAATCCTTTTCAATGGGCGTACTGGGTTCCGATTTCCTAGACGGCGGCAGCAATGGTCTTTCCCCCTCGTTCTGCACCCACAAACACGCGTCTCGGAAATTCCTGGTAAACATGGTGGGATCTGATCTCGTCCGACATAACTCCTTCACGTGGCCAGCAGCCAAGAAATAGTAGAGAATGAGGGCCGACACACGATGGATGGCTTTGGAGCCGCCGGTATCGTCTCCAACATCACAAAAAGGCGCATGGAAAGCAACAGTACTGGTACTATTCACAGCTTGCAACTCGTGTGCGCCGTCCTCCAATTCGGTAATGCGATAAAAGCTGACCTCGGCCTCATCTTCGTGGACGTGCGCGGTGACCCGATCTATGGGTTCATCGTCGTCGCCCGCGGGGCCTGGCGCATATCCGCCGATGACAAGCAATTGCTTGTGGGTGGAGCGGCCGAGCCCTCGCCAGATGGCTCTGCTGATGGTGAAGCTCTCGTCGAACTGGATCCAATGCAGTCTTGCGGCGCGTGGCAGGGCGCGAAAGGGCGCGGCAAAATTCGCACGCGCCCATGCTTGGACATTTTCGTTTGTCAGGGGCGATCTTGTCTCATGGAAGTCGGTCATTGTGGCGATTGATTGGCGTGGTGTGTGTCACCCGCTGTTGCGCTGGATTTCAATGGGGCGCGCCTTGATTCGCAGAAGCGGAGGCTGCGCAATTGCGGGTCGTGGGGTGGTGACGAGCTGGTGCTGTTCCTGGTCGCGGTGAAGAATTGTACGACGAGCACAGGTCGCCGCCATTGAAGCCCGTTGGTGGTCGGATCACGGCGACATTGCTCGAGAAAGCTGTGTAGAGGTTGACGCAGGCAGAAGTCAGGCGGGAATCCTTCCGCTGCCCGTTATTTGCGGGGCTGGCAGTGGCTGGACGACTAGAACGGAAGGTGTGCAGCGCAACCCATTTTAACACATGCAAGACGGCCATCATCCCAATCGTCATCGCACAGTTGCATGTTTCGGTGTTTTGCATCCATCGCGCTGCATATCTAGTTCTGGACTTGCGCGATAAGGGTGCTGAGCGTCCGTAAAGCGCTGGTTCCGGGTACCGAGGTACCTCTTGTTGTCGAGCGCATCGCGCGCTTAGCCCCGAAGAGACCTGATACACTTGGCAATAGTATCAAAATAGCTAGAGCTGGATTAAGGTTGCAGGTGCGCCGGACAAGGTTCAGGATGGTCCTGGTCAGGCCAGGCGATGAGTTCATCGGCAGTTCACGGATGCTTGCGCTAGTGGGCGAGACTTTCATGTTCCTCATGTTGTGCATGTGCTATGTATGGGTACGTCGGGAACTGCACTCAGCAAATGTGACATCTACATGATGGCAGTGGATCGCGAAGGATGTGTTACTGGTCGTCTTGTCATTTTCACGGCGGACAATGGAGCCTGTGCAGATGGTGATCGTGCAAGCAACAGGCTGATACTATGTGACGGCAGAGTTGCTTTTTCCAGTTGACGATCGATCGTGGTATTTCGTAGTGAGGTGTATTTAACGTTCCAAGGTTGTTGCGTGCCACGGGGTTCTCACGTGCCTGGGCGCCCAATCGGGCAGCTCTACGCGTCTACGTCATCGCCTTTTTTTCTGCCACGCGCGCCACGTGCGACAGCTTTCACAGTCACCTTGCGCAGCTCCATTCTGGCCTTACCACGCTTCTTAACAGCTGTCGTATCTGCAGTTGTCTTGGCGTCCTTCCTCAAAGCGCCCTTCCCACCTATACCGAAGACAACGATGCCCCGCCGCAGCGCGACCTCGTCGGCATCCACCGACACGACCACGACTACAACGCTCCCAGAAAAGGTCCAATGGCCGTCAACCTTCACGGATGGACTACCGCTCCCTAAAATTGTCGTCTTCGATCTCGACTACACACTATGGCCCTTCTGGGTCGACACCCACGTCACGCCTCCGCTGAAACCTGTCGAAGGTGGCCTGAAGGTCAAGGACAAATATGGCGAGGGCTTCGGCTTCTACAACGATGTCGGCGGCGTATTAGAAGCAGTGAGATGACTCGATTACCATCGTCTCCATGACGAAGCTGACGTAACGACAGCTCAAACACAAGAACATCCTCATCGCCGCTGCCTCGCGCACGTGCGCCCCCGATCTCGGCCGCGAAATGCTCAAGCTCCTCAAGATACCCAGCGCAAACGGATCGTCGTCACGCGCGATAGACTACTTCGATCACATGCAAATATACCCCGGGAGCAAGACGACGCACTTCCAGAGGATACATAGAGACAGCGGGATCGACTACGAGGAGATGCTTTTCTTCGACGATGAGAGTAGGAACAAGAATGTGGAGGTGCTGGGAGTGACTATGCAGCTTATAAAAGACGGTGTGACAAGAGATGAGATTGACAGAGGTGTGCAGAGTTGGAGAAAGAGGAATGGACGGACAAAGGCGCTGGAAGGCTGAGAGGACAGTGTTTGTGTTTGAAGCCATCAGTGGCATCGTAAAACCTGAACATTAGATCTCCGCGTCTAGATCTTGTATTCAGGTTTTACGATGCCGCCGATGGCTTCAAACGCCGCCGTCGCCGCCTGACCGCCTGTTGTCTTCTGTGGACCACGAACGCACCGTAATATTTCACTGAGGCGTCCCGTTAGATCGATCCAACGTACATGGCGTCTCACAACCCCGCCTTACACATGCACATTAAAGTACTCTGGTGGCCGCTAGAGGAAAGACGGACTTGGCATACGCAGCCTTGTGCCCCAATGCAGCCGCTTCTGGGCAGGACTCATCCCCGAGTTTCTTCCGTATCTTATAATAGCGCTCCTACAGTGTTGGTGTGGCGAGGCATCTTGGGCCCGCCCCATGCGGAAGTACTGGCAGAGCCGCATCAGGCTATGTGGCGCTTCTGCCCCCTACATCGAGCTGACACCAAGGAGGCTGTGGCTTTCTTGTTACTAATGAGAATGTATACATATGAAGCTAGTGTTAGGATCATACTCCCGTAATGCGTCTCCCGAAGCTTCACCGTTTCCGGTGGCGATGTCTGGCCATTAAGAGGCCTATACGTATAACTTGATTACGCTGTACTCCCGCCTCATACCTCCCTATACTATACTCAATTGGACGGACTGCTGATTTCTGGTACTAGACCTTGCGATCGACAGTGTTATGCGGCCGTTTCTGGACAAGGCCATGTACAGTGTATGCCGTGCTCCTTCGACGTGAAAGTCATCATGAGCACATTGATACAGTTCCGGCTTGATGTGGGGCTCTTCCTATTGCAATACCCACTGTGGCGTTTGATGTTCTCGCTAGTATCGTGGAAGCACTGCTTTCACTACCAAGCATTGCTATCCTACTGTCGAGGGTAGACGGCCCCTACCTACAGTCCGACAGATAAGTGACGCGACTCTATCAAGTTTCATTCGCTGCCACGTCTCCGGATAGGAAGAACAGAAGTCATAACAGGGGCTTCCGCTGTACTCCTCAGCCTCACGAACCCCGGTCACTGGTAGTCGAATCCGCAGTGTCTTCAACAAGGACAGTAAGGCTCTTCGCCCCGAATGCACGCCCAAGCCTACCATGCACATCACCATTGATGGATCTTCACCGGTCACATCGCCCCAAAATCAACACAGGCATCGGAGCCTTGTCGGAGTTGAAGCGTATGGATGTCTTACTTACATCTACATTTTGTCTATAAGTACTGTGTCCGCATCCTGCTTTGAAAGGTATCCAGCAGATCGAACTGACAACGAATAATCACATACAAGACAAACATTAATTGAGACTTTCGGCCAGCCACAAGCATACAATCATGCTCTTCAAATTCCCCATCACCCTGCTCGCTATCAGCAGCGGCGTTATGGCCTACACGAACAAGTAAGATACGCGCGCTCTCTTTACTACCTCTTTCCATCAAAGCCCTCTTGCCGTCACCGCCAATCGAAGGTACTAACCTTCTCAGCTGCAAAGGATCCACGAATTCGCCCAACCTCGCTGAATGCAAAGATGCCATTGACAACAACATCAACGCAGGCGTCACCTACTACCACGACCAAGAGTTCTCCTACGGAAACTGCTTCGTCAAGTACGCAACGAAGGACAAGGCGAGTGTGTCACACCCTGTGTCCGGTCAGACAATCAAGGATGTAGCAAGGCGCATCTTAGCTGAATGCGGACATCACAAAGGCAGCTACGGGACGGACAATGACTGTGAACAATGCCATGTCACTATCAACTATCGAGGTTAGCGAGTGGAGAGCATTGTCTTGTCTCCTTTGGTACAAGTTCGAAGCACGAAACACAGTCTTTACTGCAGTCAGTCATTACCTAGATATGAACACAATCATTCAATTATAACCTGCTTTATCTGAAACGAGATGTCCATGAACTTCCAATCCAATTCAGATCGCACGGAGGAAAGCCTTACTCGTGGCTGGGCACGAGCGCGTCGTGGCCTCGGTACGGACGGCTTCTCGCTCACTAGCCGCACGGGGTGTACTCATACTCTGCGCCTATGCTAACTCATTCTAGAAATGTCCTCTAGTATACAACGCCAGCACGGCGCCGCGCTGCCGCAGCCTGCCAGCTAGTTACGGGATGACAGCCCATTGCGGCCTCTTCGTCACCAACACCTGACTATTCAGTACTAAAGCGTGCCTCACGATCTACTCAAATGTCTTAGCGCCTGGTTCCCCGCCTTTTACACGATAGCCTTAGTGTCCATCACATCGCGCCCCTCGTTTACTCGTTTAGCCGTTCCTGGGCAATGCTTCTCCGTAGCTTGTTTGAAAAGCTTATGATAACTCTAATTGAATATCGGTACGAACGCGAGTTTGACGCAAAGGTTCGGTGGCCAGCATAAACGAAGACCGGATCGCAGTCTGAGTCAGTCTAATGCTCTTCTTCGCTGAGCTTGAGGCGAAGGCGACTGTTTCACGTCAGCCTGTGTGGCCCATCAGTGCCACAAGCTTTTGGACCCTTCGGAAGCTTATCGTGTTTTGGACGGATACTAATGCACATACATCAAGCTAATGCCGGGGCCGTACGTCCGTAAGGCTGTACGCATCGACACCACGGCCCGCAAATCTTCACCACCTTCCACTACCGACTTGACCAACGAGAGGTGATGTGCTTCCTGCTTACTTACATCATATTACGACATTGTAACTCCAGAATACTAGAACTATTGCGAATTCGTGCTACTAGACTCTGCGATCGACCGGATCAGGCGTTCGTTCCTGATCGGCGCTTCCCGGATTACCCGAAGTGGGCGGATCTCTCGACACGTCTCTACGCTTTCGTCTAGTAGCGGAGGACCTTCCGACTGCATCTCTCGTTAGTAAATCAACACCAAACTTTCACGTACACTGCAAGACGCAGAGCTGTGTTTGCTGCGAATCGATTCCAAGTTCACAAGGCGGACTGCTCCGGGGCTTCTATCAAAACGTCCGTTATGAAGATTCGTAATTTGTGAGGTTTCATCGGGTGGCTACTCTTTACGTCGACAAAAGAAGCAGATTTTAGGGGTTCTTAACCGACATTTTAGGAACATGATCTCCAGATCGGAGTTGTAGCCGAAGCGTGTGCATCGAGCATACCTAGGTATGGGGGGCCTCATCCCAAACACGCATGCCTCAGGCCATCATGCACATCAGCATCGACGCACCCTCACCGGCATCTTGACTTCCAAAGTAGTAAGGACAGCGTGGTATAATCAGCTAGGGGGCGACGTGTGCAAGTCTTCCTGGACGCACACATTTCGTCTATAAATACTGCGTCCGCACAGCGATTTAGAGACATCAAACACATCAACTTCTCATCAATTACTATTACAAACACTCAGAAACACTGGTCAATCATGTTCGCCAAAATCGCACTCGCCCTTTTCGCTCTTAGCAGCACTGCTCTGGCCTACTCCGACAAGTAAGCCACTTCCACCTCCCTACTGCCCTTCACATCAACCTCGCCCCTCCCCGCCATCTTCACCCATACTAACACACTTCCCCAGCTGCGACGGTTCCAGCCGCTCCCCCAACCTAAGCGAATGCTACGTCGGAATCGCCAGAATCGACGTGAACGCCTACTACAACGACCAGCAGGAGTTCTCGCAGGGCAGCTGCTTCATCAAGTATGCGACCAACGGCTCTGGTCAGCAAGCAGTGCGGGGTCAGGTTATCAAGGAAAAGGCCGAGTATATCTTGGCTCACTGTGGAAAATCTCATGGTAGCTATGGGACTGGTAACTGTGATAAGTGCCACGTCACTGTCAACTACCGTAGCTAGAGGGGATGAAGAGATACTTTGGAACTAGGGGGAAGAATGGGGAATAGGGATTTACCGCGGTCGGTGGTTATATGCACACTCGTTCAATTGAGAAAACTGTTTATCTGGTATCGAGCCAGCTAGCCAATCCTGTGGACTCTGTTTTGTGAAAACCCGTCAAGACTGTAGCAAGCGTTCCACCACCACCATCGTATCTTCATGCCCTGGTACGCTATAACTTCTTCCAGAAATCGGGGATCCTAGTCTGTCTCCGATCGTAAACCACAGGCTGGAAGCCAGGCCCATCCTCGTCCTCAATCTCAACTTGATCTTCCTCTTCGTTGTCATCCTCGCCCTCGCTATCTTCGTCTGTATCTTCTTCATCGTCTTCGTCATCGTCTTCATCGCTATCTTCGTCATCATCTTCCTCATCTTCAACCTCTTCCTCGATATAGTTCACAACGTCCTCCTTAACTTCCTCCTGAACATCCTCGTCAATTTCCTTCTCAGCCTCTACGTCAGCAGTTCCGTCAAACCCTTCTTCTGCCTCAGATTTCTTTGCCCTTGGTTTCGCCTTCCACAGCGCCATCCCAATCCCCTTGCTCTCTACGTCTTCTGCCTCTTTCAACTGCTCCATCATACCATAGGATTCGCAATACTCTTCACTCGCCAAGGCCCAGCGCTTGGGATGGCGGATGCCCATCTCGCCGATGAGTCCATCCGCAGCAGCTACTTCGTACTTGTGTGGCCATTGGTTTTCGTACTTGAGCTCGCGGAGCTGATCTGTCCTACGCATTTCCTCCGCATGTTCCGCGGTATAGGTGTGTCTCTTACCAACAAGTTTCTTGGGGACGATTGTGGTAGTAGGCAGGAAGTTCCAAGCGAAGTTTATTTGTTTGGTCTGGATACGGCGGCGGGTCTTGTTTCCCAGCAGACCTGCTGCCTCGACTTCCTCTCTCCAGACCCCATCGCTAAGCCGCTTGTACTGCACGCGCGCGAAGCGGAACAGCTCTGCGGTCTTGTACCATTCGCGCTTAGGAGCTGGTAGATCTTCGTCGTCTTGATCACATATGGCATCCCAGTCTAGCGCGTCTTGAAACATGAGCCAGTCGTAGGCGATTTGGTCGCCCATGTCTGCGAGGCTGTCTCGCAATATGTCGACAACGTGGCTGTACTTTTCAAGCTGAACGGTCTTATCACTGTCTTTGTCCCGGGATGCGTCGGTGATGAGTAGTGTGACTTTATCGAATGGATGAAGCAGGAGTGCGCGCCACCGTGGGATTTTGCCGTTCCTCTCTGTATCAACGTGCAGCTCGAGCTTCTCTAAAACTTCTCCACGACGCCAATTATTCTTCTCAGCTTCGGGTATCATTGCAATCTCTGCTAGAGCCTCAGCGAAGTAGTCGATATCCAGTGTGAGTGTGATGGTCCGCAGCGCCTCCCACCCCTGATGAAGCGGTATGCGGCCGAACAACTTGATCGCATGCCCATGCTCTTTCTTGAACCTCTGGGAAAATCTATCGAGATGCTTCTTCAGATGGCGAGCCGCTGCTTCCGAAAGCTCCTGTGACATGTTAGCCTAGCTCACCGCATACACTGGTTTGACAGTACCTCATCCGAGGAAAGGTAGACGGTGTTCAAACTTTTCGTTGTACAAGATGACGGCAAGAACATACCAAATTTGCCTGCTTACAAGCCAGTATCATACCAGGCCCAAGTCCAGGCGTCCGGGGATTCTTGTATCGTAATGGGGGAAGACATCCATACAGAAAGTCGTAGATGCTCATGCGTACGTCGAGGTTCAGCAGTGTGAAGAACATGGCGTCTTGAACGACTGGAACTGGCGTCTCCACTGCGGTAGCCTTCATTTGCAACTTGCGGTAGGCGCTGTTGGCGGTAGTTGAGGAGAGCGTGTGCTCCGTCATAGTGATTCTGCGGGCGGTTTGTTTGCGCCAAGCTTGCGGTTGAGCGATCTCAATCGAGGTGCAGCAAGCGTGGAGTGGGTCTGAAAGTGTGGAGGGCATTATGTAGAGGGTAGAAGGCGCGGAAGAAGCGCGTCAGTGCGCTTTGGGACTGGTGCCTCGCTCAGGGGGACGGATTGATGAGCAGTGAAAGGGTGGTTCAGTCCGACCCGTTTCGGCGATGAACGCACGCGCAGTGTCTCGAATGATGCATTTGAACGTCATGTCAGACAAATGTGGTCGTAGAACTGCGTATGTATCGATCCAATCAGGTCCCCCCCGGAGAGAGAAGTATGGCAAACACAAGGGCTTGTTGTAGAACTGAATCCGTCAAAGAACAACAACGCCTAAGTCTATGTTAAAGAAAGTAGAGGCAGGCACTTTTGAGCAAAACACTCATCCGATACAGCTATACTACCACTACACCCCCAATTTTTCGCCTTTCGTACAAAACACTCATCACCTACCGCCTCGTGCCGAACATCGTCACACAGCATGTGCCCACGCCTCATCACACACTACCGCCGCACACCTCTTCCACTCACACAGCTGTCCGTCTGCCAGCTGCAGGCACCGCCATCACAGTACCCTTCCTCACCCTCTCCTTCTGATGCGCCTCCCTCCGCAGCTGCTCAATCTTGGCATGTAACTCTGGTGTGCCAACATCTTCCACAGGTCTACCGTGAATCTTACGGTTCGTGTTCTTGCCGTGGCTCGCACTGTTGATCACAGCGTGATCATTAGTGGCGTGCTTAGAAGCTGCAAGACCGGAATGCTTGGTCGGTGTCGTGGAGGTTGTGGCCGCGCGTCTGCTATCGCCGCGAGGAGCGGGTCTACGTCGTTGTTGAGCTGGTCGAGGGGGTTTGGGGTATGGCCTGGTGGGGATGGGGGTGTCGTCTTCGGTGTCAGAGGCCCATGAGAGCTGGGAGTGGCGCCGGGTGGTGGCGTCTTTGTTTGATGTTTTCTTGGTAGCGACAGCCTTTGGGGGTGGTTTGCGATCGATCGGTGACGAGGTCTTACACTCGATACTAGGCGACGAAGGTGGCGAGGTAGAGGGGCGACTGGAGGGGATCTGCACCTCACTGGATCCCGAACTGGCTACTGAAGTGCGAGATGACTTAGGGCTAGGTGGAGGCGCAGGAGTATCGTCAAGATCGATGAGCAGATCTGATACTTGGCTAGCACGACGAAGCGATTGCGGGGCTGGCGCTGGTGGAGAAGTCAATTGTTCCGATGCAGCCGGTCTCGGAGATGTGCTCCTCTTGAGAATACCACGCGGCTGCTGCACGTCGTCCCCCAGCAGATCACGCTCTTCACTCTTCCTCGTTCGAAACGTCGAAGGGTCTGGAAACACTCTTGCTTCCGGCATCGCACCATCATGGTCTGCGTCCTCGTTCGCTGCTAGCCTTCGCTGCATCCAGGTAGGCGGCCTGGGACCGATAGCCGACTTCTCCTTCCACCATTTCGGTATGCCTCTAACGAAACCCAGTTCACGTAGCTTCTCGATGCCGGGCATCTCGTGCTTGAACTTGCACCCGATGGCTGTCCAGTCACACTCCCCTGTCTTAATCCAGTGTGTGCAGTACTCTTTCTTGGATGGATCGGGCTCGATGCCGGATGGGTGTGGCACGCGGTATCCGAGGCGCTGCGCATCTTTCTGGTAGATGGAGGCGAAGGTGTCAGTGAGCGAGGACGGGCGTTCAGGAGTAGCATGAGGTGTTGGGCGAGGTGGCTCTGGAGAGTTGACGATAGCTGGAAGTTGATGACATGATCGAGGAGTACGATTGTCGCTCACGGGCATCGTCTGCGGCTCCGCACGTACATGGTGGTCTGGTGCCAAGTATCGTGACTGCGTCGTCGGTGTGGAGCGAGGCGAGAAGCTGCTGGATGTGGGCGCTTGGATCAGGAGAGGCGAAGGATTCTCGTCCGTCTCTGAGCAAAGCTTCCAGGCTCCGTCTGAGATCTGGCGATGGGTCAACTGACGCGGGATTCCTTGTAGTTGGAATGGGAGCTGGTCTACTGGTACCAGTGGTACCATGACGGTGCCACGAAGGAGATAGTAACGAAGACCCTCCGGAAGTGCGCAAGTATTATAAGCTTGGGTGGCCATATCGACAAACAAATAACAACGAAATCGTCGGATTCGGATCGCGGTGATGAACTTCCTTGGTGTAGCTACTATACAAAAAGAGATGATTGAGATACGGCTTGGAAGGAAATGTGAAATGCTGAGATCCGAACGGTTGTGTTCCAATATATTCGCGGGTGTGCGACTGTGCCCAAGACAGCAATTCGATGTCTCTACCCGACGCAAGCAGTTTGCCGGCATCTGCAACCTGGCTTACCTGTCCGACAAGCCATTGCTACAAATCACAATGTCACCGAGAGAATGAATGGATTGCCTGTTAGTTAAAGATTGCCTGCGGATCAATCAGGGAGAAGACATGAGCCTCCCCAGGTAGAATGTGAGTAACGCGTCCTGGAAGTTTGTGATACCATGATCAGTCGCAACCCGTGCTGAGAATAGGCGGCCGGCTCCGCCAGAGCGTTGGCAAGCTGTGAGGAAAGGGTGAACAATCGCAGTGTCGATAATAGGGTCTGTCCTCGTGGCTAGGACAGCACGCAATCGGCCCTAAGACATGGCGTAACGGCTGGCGGGATGGGGAACTGCGGTGTCTGCGCTTGCGATGCCGAACCACTCGCTCTTCGCTCCTCAAAACGTCAAAGTCGCGTTGCCATTCTGGAGATCACGGTGACAATGACGAGTAGATTACAAAATTGAGAGATGGCGTACCGCACTGCCATGTGGCCAGGCCAGGTTAACCCTTTCGCTCAACGGGTATCCCTGTGCCGATCTACCGCGGCACGGCAATCGCCGTCCTGCCCAGACCCGCCTAACCACAACTCCAAAACATTAGACTGCTTCAACCCGCGTTGGGCCATCACGGCTTTCGGATTCGGGTCTTTGCCTTGGCCGTGGCAGCGCATGCCGTGTATCACGATTCCCAGCCTGAAGCCGCCGCTAGGAGTCTCCCTCCGCATCTCAACGGTTGGCCCTCCTGTCGGTACAGATGATGTCTGCACAAAGTCAATCTGCAGATCTACCACCTAGTCTTCCGGCAGTTCATGTCTCGACCGAACATGTCAAAAGTTACTTGCATGACATTAACCGTGTGGCGCGTCCTGAGGAGATGCCTCCGTGTTGAGGTTGGCAGCTGAGGTATGCATGCTAACAGGCCGCCATCGAAGTTACCGCTCTTTCGCAACGAATAGACCGCCCGGCACATCGTTCATGACTCGGTTAAGAACGCGATCTTCAATAGTGGGTCGTTGGCTTCCACTGGTCTTGCGCGGCAGTGCTTCTGGCCAGTTTCGGAGACTACGCGCCTGGCACGACTATCAACGGTCCCTATGCTCCAGGGTCTGATAATATTGGAGCCTTCCTCGGCACCCTGTTTGTTTGTCGATGAAGTTTTCCAACGCGTAGGATACGGCCAACAATAATTCGGATGAACGACTGTAGGTAGCTATGAGAGATCGCATTGCTATAACGGAAAGACAACCAAGCTTCAATAGCCGGAAAGCATCTCCGACATGAGCAAAGACGACCGCAGTCCCGAAGTGTTTGCCGTCGCTGCACTGTTCTTTGTGCTCACATGGACGACTGTTCTCCTACGGATCTACGTGCGCGCGGTACTGATGAAGACATGGGGAAAAGATGACTCGTACATGGTTGCGGCACTAGTAAGTTGTCGCGTCTCGTGTTCAATCGGAGATTATGCTGATCAAGCTTGGAGTTGACGTTCACCGTATATCTTCCATGTCAGATCATTGCTGCGATGCATGGAACTGGTCGCCATCGATGGGAGTTGAGTGATAGCGATGCGAAGACAGCACTCTTGGTCAGTCCAACGCTCTCATCGCATTATCTGACAGCTGACTCGATACAGTTTTGGTACCTGTGCGAGCTGTTCTACGTGATAGCGAACTGTCTGCTCAAGTTTGCCATCGGCTACTTCTACCTGCGGGTCGCGATCGAGCGCTGGCATATCTGGGCCATCCGGATACTCATGCTAGGAACTGTACTCTGCGGTCTCGTTTACTTCTTTCTAGTTTTGCTTCAATGCATTCCAAGTGAGCATCAATCAAGCGCTCGTTGTCGCATTCGCTAATGGATATAGTTTCGGACTTTTGGAACGTGCATCCCGCCTCAGACAGATGCATACACAACGGGCCAACTCTGGGGATTACTTATGCCCTCGCCACCATCAACGCAATGGCTGACTGGGCATTCGGCTTGCTTCCTTTCTTCATCGTTTGGGGCTTAGAGATGAGAACCAAGACAAAGCTATTGGTTGCCGGTATCCTTGCATTCGCAGCAATCGGAAGCACCGGTACTGCCATCCGTATGGCGTACATTCACACCCTCGTCCAAGGCCCCGATTTCTTGTATGCTACCACCGACGTCGCCTTATGGAGCACTATCGAACCTGGCATCGGCATCACCGCAGGAAGCATCGCGACACTCCGTCCGCTCGTCCGCCACTGTCTATGGAAGATGGGTCTAGCCGACGCACCTCGTGAAGAACGCGGCCGCAACTACTATCCTTCCGAAGAAGGCGGTCGCAAACGAAAACACCGCCGCGGATATCGCCGTAGCCTGAGCCCTTCCGATCTGGTGCCTACGATACCTGGCAATATGACGACCATACAGATCCATGGACCTCACGACATAGACCTGGAAGAGAACCTGTCCCCGCCGAAAATTGTCGTCACAGATGAAGATGTCCCGGAAACTCCAGAAGGTCAGATTATACACACTGTCACGGTTCAACAGCAATATGAAGGCCCTGCAAGGCTTCCTGAGGCACCTCCGAGGCTGCAACTGCGCGATAGCTTGAGGCATAGTTTCACTCGCGGGAGTATTTTGAGCCTTGGCAAGTTTCGCGTACCTGAGTGAGCGTCCAGATGGAGTACCCGATGTCTCTCCGCCATCTCAGTTGCGCAAGTTGGTGATAGTCTCACCTGAAACGCTTCAAAGACAGGTCGCAGACAACAAATACACAGAAGCACAAAGGCTATGTTGTCTCATCAATTCATCATGTCGCGACGCTCTGACAGACACGCGATACACCGTCACTGGATCAGTCGTCAGAAGAAAGCGTGAGAGCATTGCTGGAGCGTTGCGTCACCTGGGCGAAACACCTTCACCAACGCTGGCTGTCATTCACGTCATCCACAATTGTATCTCCACCCACCGCTCCTGAGCTCTCAGTCTCACCCGCGAGACTTCGCTTTACCATCACAATCTCAACAGTACCTGTTCAGCTACATTATCGTACATGAGCAGCACTAGTGTATTCACACCAAGTAGCCATACTGATCACGGTATGGCCGAGAACCCCACACCATCGACAGAAACCTCCAGCCAGACTCGCGATCGTACTCCCACATTAAACGGCGAACCACCCGTCCTCCCACCCAACGAAGCCATCCTCACCTCCGCCATCCCCAATCCGTCTCACAACCATCCTCCGCCAAGAGACGACTCGCTACCCATCCTCCCACCCAACAAAGAAATCCTCGCCTCCGCCATCCACATGACAAACACCACCCGCTTCATCCACCTCCTCTCCCACACCAAAGCCCTAATCACCCGTCACGGGCCCTACACCACCCTCCCCGCCACATCAGTCTTCACCCGCTCCCCAAAACCATCCAGACCAACCAAACCACCGTTCCCCGCTTCCCCCTCCACGCCAACCCTCACATCCCTCGCCCTCTCCCTCGCCGCCGCCCAAGACAGTACTTATAGCGCGCAACCCCCAAGTTCTACAAAAGACGATCTAGACTTGTTTACGCTCCTCTGGGACAGTTCCATCGCTGTCTTGGAGGAGATTCTGTGTAGAGGTGATTTACCACAGGAGTCTTTCGGTTGGGGGATTTATGGGTTGGCGGCGGGGTATATGCATCCACCTCCGTCTTCTTGTCCTTCTCGTGATCTGAGTCAGCAGAACATCTTCATGCGGAACAAAGAGAGGTTGAAGGATGCGCTTTGTATGATGCCGAGTTTGGAGGGGGGTGGGATGGGTAGGGGGATAAGTAGGGGAATGAGTAGGGGAATGGGGATGGGGATGGGTGGTGGAAGAAGGACAACGACGGAGGCACTAACGAGGGCGAGGCGGGATATACATACTCTAGGCCATATTCTTCTGTATGAGTTTAGGAAAGGGGGGTGGAAGAGGGTGAGGTGGGGACATGCGGTTATGGTTGCGGAGAGGTGGGTTGGGGCGTTTGGGGTTGGAGGGGAAGAAGGGGGGAAGGAAGTGGTAGCGAAGGTAGAGACGAAGAAAGGGAGTGGGAAAAAGGTTACTTTTGAGTTTCCTTGATGGCTTGGATTTGAGCAAGAATGATGGTTTTGGTAGCCGAAAGGGTAGTTAATAAACGACCTAGACGTCAAGGGGGTTCAATGGGAATACGAGACAGCCCATGTCCAACACCTACCATGCAATCGCACTACATATTCAACTTCCCACATCACCTAGCCTTTCTCCTTCCCTTTCTCTCCCACAAGCTTGCCTTCCTACTCCTTCCCCTCCTCCCCGCCAACCTTCCCCTTCCCCGACACAGCCAACCTCTCCGCCACCTTCTTAACACACGCCTTCCTCTTCCAACACCCGCGATACCACTCATCCAACTTGGCAAATCTCACCTCACCACCCTCATCTTTCCCACCACCACCCATCCCACTCCCACCCACCCACCAGCCCTCCCACTCCCCAACCAACCCATGTACAACCGGCCAAACAAACGCATCCGCAACA